TGGCCAAGCCCATATCTGTGTATTTGTATTAGGAATACCTGCGATGTAGATGTAATTCGTCTGTTTGTCTACACAATAAAACAAATAATTATTTAACTGATAAGAACACTTGTATAAAATTAAGCAATATATTAAAAATAAACAGAAATTTATTAAATTAAATTATTGAAATAGTCACGAATTTTTTTCAAAAAGAAAAATATATATTATATACAAAATAAAAAGACTTGAATTAAATAAAAATAATTACTTACAAAATAAGGAACAAAAAATACTTTGAAAAATATTGAAAAATATATATTATCCCAAAATTAATTTACAAATTTATTAAAACAATTTATTAAAATAGTGACATATTTATTTCTAAAATAAAATATTATAAACAAAATAAACAGACTTGAATTAAATAAAAATAATTACAAAGAATATAAGCAACAAAATAAAAAAATACTTTAAAAAATATTAAAAAATAAATATTATTCTAAAAGAAATTAATAATTTCAATTTAATTATGCAAATATGTACTTTAAAATATTTTAATAATTTTGTAAAGTAAACTTTAATAGAATTAAACAGAATACTTAATTTAAGCTTTCCATTTTGACTTGAGCAACAAAATAATTGATAAGTAAGTGATTCGGACACTTTGTAATATGCCAGCTTTAGGTAGAGTTATAGATCCTGCATTAAACTGAAGTTGCAAAAACTTTAAGGCCAACTGTGTGCGCTGTTAACTTGGCCAACTGCTTGGCCCGCCTCCGCATTACCTTTAGCTGCCGCTTGCTGTCCCATTAGAGCAACAAATTAGCTGCAACAGCAGCCCGCCTTCTTCCTCGTCTGCTATTGCTATTGCTCTTGCTATTGTTGCTGTTGTTGTTGTTGTGGCAACATCCGCTGGGGCAGGTGGCAGGAGGCAGCTTTGTAATTTACGAGCCAGCAATCGCAGACGACTATCGTAATAGCTGGTAACAGCATTTGTGCATTTTGTTCTGCCATAAATCATATTGGTAATGCAAGTTCTGCAACAACAGTCGACTCGACTCGACTCGAGTTGATAGTCGTCCAGCTCCCACCTCCCTCCCTCCCTCCTGCCTCTCTTTCTCTAGCCTGTATCTCTCTCTCCCTCTCTCTCTGCCTCTGTGCCATTTCCGATCCCTAGTCTTAACTCGTTTGCCCTTTTCAGCCAGCACTTGGACAACATTGTTGAGCTTGCGTCTGCGGCGCAATTTCTTGACTCACTTTTCTCGGCGCCTCCCCTCCCTGTGCTCTACAACACTTTTGGCTAATTGATTTACAACACTTTTCCAACCTTTCCCAATATCAAATGCGAAGCTATATGGTATGTGTATATATATATATATATGTATGTCTGTGTTGTAGTTGTATATAGTATGTATATCTTCTGCTTTTTTATCAAACAGTCTGTAGCTTGCTCAACGCTTCATTGTGTGACAATCGCCCTAGAGTTGTGTAGCGCTTATCAACACTGTACATAGCACTATATATATATATTATGTAAGTGTGTGTGTGTGTATGTGTGGAGTGGGTTGGCTCCCTGGGGCCACATCGGCTGTTTGCAAAAATAATTTATGGCAAACTGTTGATTGTTGACATGGGGGACCCAGAGCTCAAGTTAAAGCCTCGCATACACACACGTCTATATATCTATGTGTTTGTGCGTGTAGAATTTATCATTAGTTTTATATGTATATATATACATATGTATAGTATTTGATGTTGCTTTCAGCTTCGCGAAGCGAAACCAAAACGAAACGCGACGAGCAAAACAAAAGCCCCCCAAAAACACAAACGACAGCTGGGGCTTCGCTTCGCCTGCCCGTTGATGGCTGCTTTTCAAAACACATTGCGTCATTTACTGTACAGCCCGCTCCCGCCTCTGGCCGCCCCCCCTCCCTCCCCGCAGTGACCCCACATCCAACGCCTCGCCAGACGATCGCAGCCACATCGAAGCACGTTGCTCTGACGCTCGCTTCCTAGAAAAGCGACGCGAATTCTACGAATTAGAAATCTATGTACTCGATACTTGCACATGGGGTAATGGCATCTGGTACATCGATACTATATAAGGCATATATAGCTGTGTGTGTGTGTGTGTATACCCGATATTTCTGTGCGCGCCGATATCTGCTATAGCGATACTATATACAAATCGAAATGTTTGCAATTGCGACTGTAGCAGACCGAGCTGTGCATTGACTTTGCTTGCTTGTGAAGGCGTTTTCAACTAGGGCTTCCACGGATTGACGCGACTTGCAGTTACCCCTTACTGTCTCTTCTTTATGTTACTGTTAACATGAGCATTTACATTTCAATATATACTTAATACAATTTAGCTGTACATTTTGTTTTCTTATCAATTTACTTTTCATCAATGGGTAAACCATATAAAAATGTTGACTCACATAGCTACCCTGTAGTTTTCTTTACATATTTTACATGAGTTAATTTTATGAACTTTTTATGTAAATATTATAATTTATTCAGCATTTCAATATCTCTATTTCAACTATGTACAAATATTAGTTACTCTGTAATATTTTATACATTATGTTCTAAGCACATCTAGTTTTTAGTAAGATAAAATTAGATTATTAAACTGCTTAACTTTAATCTACACAAGTTTAAAATTCACAAAAATGCGCGACTAGCAGTTACCCTGTGCTAATTATATGATGTATTATGTTCTATATTGTGTTCCATATACTTATGTATATCAGTCTTATTTTATTAATTTATCACATTATTTATAAATCAGTGCAATGCTCTCAAGACCTTATTCTCACAGCGAATAGTAAAAGTGAACGACCAGCAGTTACTCTGTAGCCACATATATTAGGTATTATCTTTATATATAAATATATGTATGTATTTTCTTCCTGTCAGCATCTCAATTAGTCTTTCTAATCTCCTATCACTCAAATATATATTGTGCTCTGCAAAATCTCTCTTATAGTATAGTAAATATTCATCAAAGCCAATACTAAATGCACGACTAGCAGTTACCCTGTGGGCTTACATATAGCGTATTATCTCTTCATTTATTTTGTTCCTGCCTTTTTCTCAGCTATTCTCTCTAATCTCTAATAATTTTGCAACATCTGTCTTAGATTACTTTATACTAGAAATTCATTCTCATGCTCTTAACCCAATTAGTTTAAGCAAACATTTATTTTCAGAGTCAATATAGTTCTCCTGAAAATGGTATATCATAGATTATATATTATCGCATTCATAGAAAAAGGCTCAACTCTTATTTATAGCTCACTTATATTATTTTGTTTTTTACGTTTTCTTTTTCAGTAAATCTCTTCGATTGCTCCCTGTAGGAGCTCTTCATTGCCTAGCCTTGAACCAAATACATAAAAGCTTCTTATCGCCGAACAATTATTTTCCGCTCTTATCAATAACTAGACAATTAATCACAGAAATTGATATGCAGTGCAAAATACCCTGTAATTGATAGGTATATGGGGTATGGAAGCCAGACTGAGCAATTCTTATATGTATTCATATTTGATTTGATTATATTTATAGTTAAGCTTATATAGATATTTATGTATATGTATATCTCATTCCATATATGTATATACATTGATCTGTTTGTTTATAGTGTTTTGCCTTTTGTTTTTCTGTAACCTTTGTTTTTGCAATTAATATTTTTGAATGTTTCAGACGATTCTGCCTAGTTCTTCGTTACACTTGAGAGCATTTCTGATTTATGATCATAACAAGCAACAATATTCGATGTCATTCACGCCCCGAGCCAAACAAACGAACTCCATTGTGTAGCCTGCCCCAAGCCCCAAGCCCCATGCCCCATGCCCCACAGTCCAGAGCCAGAAAGAGAACACAAATTAGGCTTTTGTAGAGAGCTCGTTCATGAGTGCCACATATAATCGTATTACAAATGCGCAGTAAATAGAACTTCATTCGATACGTACAGCTCGTGCAATAATCGAGGAACGAACTAGTTCAAACCAGTTCGTGTGAGAACCACACAAATGTTTTCATATTATTGGTAGAATGAACCAAGTTTCAAAATGCTAGATATCAAAAACCAATAGCGCACGCAGGAAGTAGTTAAAAGTCTGATAAGTATTTTAGGCTATATGTATATATATATATAATCAAATTAACTTACATTAATCACTATCAATATTCAGCAGGATCCAGCTAATAGAATCTTCAACTTTATTCGTTTTTATTTTCATATAAAGGAAATAAATCATATATCATTCAACTCAGTTCCATGAACTAAATCCCAAGGATATACATACATATATCTATATATTATGGTTATTATATTATACATATATCATCATGTACTCAACATACTCACCATATTTATGTAGCCCAGCCCACTGCTTTATAGAAAAACTTTTCGCACTCAAATATCCATTTCAAAATGAAAAAAAAATAATTCAACAGTTTTTATTAGTTAACTTTTCTCAATTCAAAATAGTTTTCAGTAACAAAAATGTAATAGATACTTAACTAAACAAATATATATATTTGCATATATATTCATATTCAATAAATGTTTTTAATTTTTATGTACAGAGCACTTTAAGTTCGGAAACATCTGTAAGTATATATACTATATATAGTATACATTTATAGCATGTGTTTCACAAAACATTTTAATTAAGTTTACAGTTTTTTGTTGCTGATTCAACATGGGCACTTAAAGTATATACAAATCAAACATATGTATGTGTATATATTATATATATCGATTCATTAATGCATAAGATAACAACTCTTAATTGACTACAAAATAAAGGCACCTGAGTTCAAAGTGTTATTGCCAAATGTAAATAAGGTAAACAAATAAAAATAAAAATAAAAAATTAAATATATATATACACATATGATATATGTATGTATATATGAATATATTCAGAAAAATAAGGTAAATTGTAAATTATTGAATTCATTTTAATTAATGGTATGTTGACTCTATATATGTATGTATTGTATTTATGTTTGTATGTTTGTATTTGCAACTGACTGTTTTGATTGACTAAACGCTGATATGCATGTCTATATAGTAGTATATTATATGTTTATGTACAGCTCTATATATTTATTATTTTTACGTGTTTCATATAAAAGTACTTAAATGGTCTTTGTCCCTGAATGAAATGCGCCTGGCTTATTTATTTTTATCCAAAAATAATAACCCGCCCCTAAACTACGCTTAGAATTTGTTGGCTCTTGTTGCTCTTATTTGCTGACTAGTGCGTTTTCTCCTACTCTCTTGCGCTCTCGCTCGCTCTCTCTCTCTCTTTGTCTCTCTTTCTTGCTTAACTACAGGTTGCCGGACTTTTGACTGCTCCCACTCCCAGTCACACCCACTCTCGCCCACGCCCACACTCACTCTGCCCCCCTTTGGCTATTGCATTTTGTAGAGCTGCGGCGGCTCTTTGGAGGCCGGCATCCCCTGATCATAGTTGCCCAGCTCCGCTTCGTACAGCAAATTGTTGATCAGGTGCTTGACGACTATCTTCGACTTGGGCGTCTTCAGTTTTCTTATGGTGATGGCCACGTACTCACCAAACACCCCATATTCATCCACATGGCTGTTGCCGGCCAGGCTGCTGCCGCTGCTCATTTTGAGGGGCGTGGCAGTTAGGCTGGATATGCCGCTGCTGCCAGTTGTGGCCAGATCCAAGGAGCTGCTGTTGTTGTTGTTGCTGTTGTTGTTATTAGTATTGTTGTTAGTGTTGTTGTTGCAGTTGCTGCTGTTGTTGTTGTTGTTGTGGGCCAGAGTTGGCGAGCAGGAGAGATCACGACCACGATCACGTTTTTGTGCCATGTTATTGGAATGTTGTTGTTGCTGCTGCTGCTGCTGCTGATGTTGTTGTTGTTTTTGTTGTAGCTGCTGCGGTTGTGCATGCCCATTGCCATTGTGGCTGCCATGGCTGAGATTGTGGCTAAAGTGTTGCTGCAGCGTATGAAATGCGATCTGATTGTGTGGATGTTGTTGTTGCTGTTGCTGTAGTTGTTGTTGCTGCTGCTGCTGCTGCTGCTGATGTTGATGTTGATGTTGGTGTTGCTGCAGCACTGTCGTCTGCCCCGTCGACTTGATGGGCGTCAGAGTTAATGCCCCAACCACGCCCCCAACAATGCCAACGCCCACGCCAGCGCTGACATCACAGCCATCGAGCTCATCCATTTGCGCTTTACGCTTGCGCGGATTATATGTCAGATCCGTGGGTTTGTAGTAGCTCGCGGAGAGAGAGAGCGGCGTGCTCGTCTGCCTATCGAGCATGCCCAGCTCTGGTTCGTGCTCGATCTGCAAGCGACGAAATATAGAAGCAGAAGGAGAAGAAGAAGGTGAAGAGGGGAACAGAAATTAAACAGTGGTTAGTAAGCTCTTAACTTGTGGGACAAGAATATATAAAAAGAGATTACAGAGGGTATACTTATATGATTAAGGAAAATAGCAATCGATACCAAAAGATTATTTTTACATTTTCTATAGGGTATAAATTATGCTTTTCAAATATTCTATAGGGTATATAGACTGTTATACATATACAATGTACATATGTACATAGATTGTCCCTACAGAAAATATACCAAAATGCGTTTAATTGTTACAAAAATATACCCCTTTTTTCCACTTACAAAATATCCCACTTAATTACCTTTTCTTATCAAAATTAAATTTTTATTATGCCAATATTCATGTACGTATGTACATGTACGTACTCTATATGCACATAGACTAACTAAACTCCACTACAATTCCGCTTATACAGGGTATTCGCATGCCCATTCTTTAAGTCTATTGAAATGCAATCAAAGATCAAAAGCTCAAGCACTCATACTTACAATTTCTGTCTTCACATCTTCGGCGCTGATATTGCAATAGCTCTCGCCATCCAAATCTGAAGAGGAACGTGTCTACGAAAGAGAGAGAGAGAGAGAGAGAGAGAGAGAGAACAAATCGTTAAGAATTGGCAAAGGCAAGAAATATGAAAAGACGGATAACTAACTACATACAACATTAATAATGACAGTGTAAAGAATTTGTCAGACAAATAATAATAACACCAACAACAGCAACAGCACCAACTAAATGATAATAGACAAAGGCGAAACAACAAAAAAGCATAAAGCAAAGAGAAAAACAAATTAGAATAGTAATAAAAAATAAATAAACAAATGTGAGCAGCAGTCAAACTCACACACACACACATGCGCTCACACAGACAGTCTTTGCATACAGATGGCAGCGCGAGAGCCAGCGGCGATTAAATTAGTTGCGTTTGTCGAGACGGGGCTGGCGACGCGGCAAATTCAACATCGAAGTGGACCAACGAGTGGCCAGACAAGCAGACGAATAGACAGATGAAGCGAACGAATGAAAAAAGCAAAACACAAAAACAAACGCAAAACGCAGCGCAGCAACTTGCTATAGTGAAGCTAATGCTGCTGCTGGTTGCTGTTGATACTGCTTAGGCGGGTCCATTGCCAGCGCAGCGGTTGTGGGTGGGCGGGGTGGTGAGCAGCTGTTGAGGGGCAGGGTCGCCGCAAAACGTGTAGCTGCCGATTTCTACGGCTGATGCAACACACAAATGGCTATGGCTATGGCTAACGTAGCAGCAGCAGCGACAATAACGGCGGCAGCAGCGAAAATCAAAGCCAGTTGACACACAGACAGGACACACACACGCACACGCACACACACTTGCACAACACACGTCGCTTATCAAGCGCAAGCGACGCAATAGCAGCACCAGCGCCACAGTGACAAACAATGGTTAATTATTGCAATGAGCTCTGACGAGATAAATTGATAATGCATAATGCATCAATTGATTAATCAATAATATCGCAAAGATTGCAAATTCGTTTAATTTAACTTTCAACAGCGATTGCTTATACAATTGCAGCGCAGGTTGCCGCCGCAGTGTTGCCACCTGATTAATATTTGTAAAATTTGCCATTGCGATCAGTTCTAGCACAAGTGCAAGGCAAATTAGTAAGTAAAAGGAGTGAAAAGAAACGGTGTAAGCTCAAGTGCGGACATTTCGTGTCTTACTAAAAAGCTCGAGCCACTGTGCGCCACAGTTTGTAGCTGTTGCTGACAAACCGCTAGACACAGAGCCAGCAGCGACGGCGCGTGTACTGCGCTGCTGCTGCTGCTGCCGCAAAACAAGTCAAACCACTCACACATACTTGCAAAAGCACACATGGACACACACACACTACTACACTTTTACGCTCATTCTCACTCGTATAAAAGCAAAAGCTTCACCGGAACGGAACGTTAACAACAAACAACAAGAATAATCACTTAGTCACACCGATAAATACCCTACCTAATGAAAATGTTAGCAAATCAATGAGAGCATAATTATGAATGAAATAACAAATAATTATTATAATTATAATGCATGTTGTGTACATATTAAAATGTGAATGCACATGTATGTGCAGCTATGCATGTGTGTTTGTTGTACGAAAATGTGGTGAATGACATAACACAAATAACTCTACAACAGTGTAGTGTATAGAACATAAGAAATGAGAAATAATATGCACAACAAAGTAAAATCAATAAGGAATAAGCAATAGGCAATAGGCAATAGGAGCTTACCACAGCAGCTGAGACGGCTGCAGCGGCCGTTGCTGATGATGCTGTTGCGTCGCTGCCGCTGCCATTGCCAGCACCATTGGAATTGCCATCTGAGGCTGCTGCATCGTCGTCCATATTGTGTTCCCGTTCCCTGACGTTCGCCGCGGCTGCGGCTGCAGCCACAACAGCAACGGCGGCAGCGACGCGAGCAGCGAAGTCTTCGTGCTGCTCAGCCTGTTGCTTGCCCGCAGCAGCAGCTGTCAGCTGTTCCAAATCTAGGCTATGCATCAGCGTCAGTTTATCAGCTGCTTCCGAGTCCAGCAGCGCTGTCGACGCAGCCGGTTCTACGTCACTGTCAACGACGCCGTCCATGGCAGAGGCGTCGGCGTCCCGTTCCCCATCCAAAATGAAGCGAATTGCCTCATATGCAAACCACATGGGCTGATAGTGAACGCCTCGGCTGCGCCCGTTGATCACCTTGCCGTGCTCACGATGGAAGGAGGAGCGCAGCGATTTGATTTTCGAACGAATCGAGCGAATTTCTGTCCCATATTTCTGGCTGAGCAGCTTAAGCGCCTCGTATTTGGTCTGCTTGATGTGATAGCCTTTAGTGTTTGGGTCCCAGAGCACGCGCTGCCGTCGATAATCCTCGATGAAGCCCAATATCGTGGCGCGCGACCATTCAATTCGATCCGCAGGCGAAGCCTGCGTCGACGGCGACGGTGACGGCGGCAGCGCTGCGGCGTCAGCAGCAATCAAAGCGATAGCATTGGAGTTGGCGTCGAGTTTGTACTGCGCTGCGCTGGCGCCACTGCTGGACATCGTGCGGAGAAAGTTAACGGTTAAAGGAGGCAGTGGTGATGCTGCTCTTGCTGCTGTTGTTGTCGTTGTTGTTGGTGTTGTTGTTAAGGTGCAGTGGGTGGTTTGTTGGATGGTGCTGGTTCGGTACGGTTCGGCTGGGTTGGATGGATGCGCGCGCGCGCAAGCGGCTGCCGGAGAGAGACAGTGTGAGTGTGTGAGAGAGAGAGAGGAAGGTAGCAAAGAAGGTAAACGCAACGCAACGCAAAACGCAACGCGACGTAAAAAATAAGCGTCCACAACACGTTGCTTTTGACTTTCGACTGAGGCGGCGGCGGCCGCGGCTAGCGGTTGTGTGGCAGAGGAAGCGTAGCAGCAGCAGCAGCAGAAGCAGTAACGGCAGCGGCAAGTGTGGCGGCGGCGGCGGCCAAACGGCAGCTCAGCTGCACTTTGTGCGAGAGAGCGCGCGAGTGTGCGAAGCACAGTGGTACGCGACCTAATTTCAATTAACCAAAATGCAAATTACTTGTGAAGTTTAATTGACTATTTGAAATAAATTAATTAATAGAAAATAAATTAACAAATTATAATAAGATATATATGAATTCTTTTCAATTAAATTTTCCAAATTTCCCTTTATAGTAAATACATAAATTATAAATGTGAAAGTAAAGGAAAAGAAACAGTGTGCTTTGCAATACGTGTGTATAGTTATTTTAGATTTAAAAGTAATATGTGGTAAGTTCGGTATTGATATAGAGAACAATTTCAATAATTATATATTCTTCAGATAGAATAAGTGGTCAATCAATATACACATTTCGTTTACCACGTGGAATTAGCTTTTGCTTTTGGTTATCGGCTCCACTGTGCGTCGTTGCTTCGTCCAAAATCAACGCAAAGGTGTGCGCGACTCAGTGTTTGCTGTTTGTGTTGGTGTGTGCACACGTACGGGCTAGCATGTGCGCAAGTGTGTACGTGTGCATGTGTGTATACGTGTGTCTGTGTCTGGCTCTGTGCGTGTATGTGTGCTGGTTGCAGCGGCACGCGGGGGCTTTTTTTTCGCTCACTCAACGACTTGACGTAGCTGCTGCTGCTGTAGCTGTTGTTATTGCGGCTGCTCTGCCCGGAGACCTGTTGGTTGCTCGCTTGATAATGCGACGCTTTGTTGTTGTTGTTATTGTTATTGCTATTGTTGTTGTTGCTGCTGCTGACTGTTTTGGGTTTTCTATTTGTTGCTGCTATCAGCTGTTTTATTGCATGTTGTTGTTGCCGCAATACATACGTGCGACGTGACGTTGCTGTTGCTGCTGCTGGTGTTGCCACTCGACGTTGACGTTACGATCCCCCGACACGTTCGTTGTTGTTTTCGCCGCTTCGTCGTTCGTCGTCGGTCGTTCGCTGTTGAAATCACGATTTGTACTAATTTCACATATTTAAACTGTGTGTGGCATGCGCGCTGCTCCAAACGGGCCAGTTGCTGTTGTTGTTGTTGCTGCTGTTGTTGTTATTGCTGCTGCTGCTGTTATTGTTGCTGCTGCCGCTGCTGCTGTTGGCCGTAAGTCCGTCACTTGGTTTTATGCTCGCCTCACGCCCCCGCCCACCGCTACAAACACCTTCCATACTTGCTGCTGCTGTGGTTTTAGCACTTTTAGCACAGATCATTACCGCTATATCATAAGCTTTACCTAAAGCTTAGAATGCGGCGAAGGCGAATCTGTCTGGCATTCTTTTTCTGTGTCTGCAAACTTCGCCGTACCGTGTGTCACAGCATATTGAAGTTAGAAACAAATTTGTTATCGATTTCCGTCTGTTAAAACTTATGTTTTCTTTCTTGTTTATTTTTCAATCTCTAGAATATCTGCAAATCAAACTTGTTATCTGTGTGTGATAGTGTATATGAATTTCGGTGCCTTTATCGTAATTTTCATTTCTCGTTTCTGTTCAGTTTCGCCCGTGTGGCGATCGCTGCTGCTGTTGCTGCCTGCTGCTGCTGTCGCTACCGTCAACGGCAACACGTTGCACAGTGGGCCCCGCTTCTGCGCATGTGACAAAGGCTGCCAAAAAAAATAGCTGACTAGCAAAGTGTAGCAAAGTGGCGGCCATGACGCTGGATAGGCTAGTGGCGTGTGCTCGTTAAAATGTTGGCTACAGCACACATTGTATATTTAAATACATATACATTTCAACAAATGTATATATGTATGTAAGTGTGTATGCTTACGTATTGTATGTATGTTAAATATATATGTATGTCACGATCTAAATGTTCGGTTTAGGTATACAATTTAATGTAAATAATTCAATTTCTTACTATTACTTTCAAGTGCTTTGCCTTTGCTCCACTGTGCAACGGGCAGCTACAGCTGTAAATTTTGTTGCCGTCGTTCAGAAGTTGTTATCGTTGCCGCCGCCACCGCCGCCGCAGTTGGACGAAACTGAATAACAAAAACAAAATTCGCAAAAAGCTTCACAACGCGGTAACAAATTTTGCGAGTCAGCAGAATGAAAAAGAAACAAAAAAGAAAAGAATCAGAAAAAAAGGAATTGCATTTCACGGCAAATTTGGTTGTTTTTGTTAATCAAGGGGCTGGCTGGCTGGTCGTTAGCTTAGTTGTCGATTGCCAGGGGCGAGGGAGCTGGCAAAATCGACAGCGTCACCGTCGCTCACGTAGGCAGCTTTGTTTTTGCATTTTGAGTTGACAACTTTGTTGTCCCGCTCCGATCGATGAACGACATTTAATTGTGCTCTCCCTCTCTGCCTAACATGGTGTTGCGCTCTTTCTCTCTCTGCCCTTCGCATGCAAGTCCTCACACGTTCAGGTTTTAATTTCGCCGAATTTTGTCGTCGTAAGGCAAATTCAAACACAGACACACAAAGGCATGCATTAACAGAGTTAGAGCTTGTGCATTTCGCAATGCATTCGCTCTCTCTCCCTCTCAGTCTTACTCTCTCTTTGGCTGTTTTACTTCATGTCACCTCTAATACTCACAGCATTTTAACATTGCGGAAGCTTTCGTGACTGCTTCTGCTTCTTACTTTAACTGCTCATTATCAAGCGCCGCTGTTGCTGCCGCTGTCTCTGCCTCAGCCACTGCCTCAGTCGCTGCTATCGTCGACTGTGGCAGCGACATGTTTGCCGCACCTACGATAACGGCATTAACTTGACTTGACTTAACAAACCCGATCCCCTTCCTGTGCCCTATTGAAATACCGCATAGCATCAACATGAGCCGCCGCTCACTCAGTGAAAGCAACGAAAATGCTGCGACTGCAACGCGGAGTGCGCCAGCAAAAATTAAATCTGAAATTGGCTCTGACTGCGCGTCAGTCGCTATTGCTACCGCTACCTTCGCTGTCATCGCTGCCAGCGCTTGCGTCGCTGTCAACGTTAGCGACGCAACGCAACGCGTCGCGTTGTGGCGCAAAGCTTTGCATTCAATTTTCGTTTCAAGTTGACAAATTGACGTTCAAAGTTGTTTGCGCAGCATTTCAGTTACAGTTTTAGTTTAGCTGCCTGCCTTTTCCGCTTCCCTCATTCCACTCGATTCCCCAGCCTGATGCCATTACCGTTGCAATCGCTACACACACACACACACACACAAACACCCATATCGTTGCCTTTGTCAGTTCTGGTTCCTTATTATTTTTATGATTTTTTCACAATCTTTTTACGTCCTTTGGCTGCCTTAAAATGCAAGTATTTTAGTGTGTAGATGTGTGTGAGGTGCGTATGTAAAACGAATACAGTGCACGACAAACGGTTGTGGAAAACTAGAAAAAGTAGAAATATTCTAATACTGTGTATTTTCGAGTAATTTACATATAAAATAATATACAAATAATATATAATATACATACATATATATAATATACAAATAATATATATATACATATATAATATAATAATATACATATGTATATTATATTTTTAATAGTTTACTAAATACATTTAAAATAATATCTATAAAAATTGGTTATTTTTAGTTTTTACATGTTTTATTATTTTTATTTTTATAAAAATACTTAGACGTATGCATTCTGCTGTGAGCCACTGTACGTAATAGAACGAGGTGCTGTGGTTCCTGTTGTTGCTTTTGCTTTTGCTGTTGCTGTTGCTGTTGCTGTTGCTGTTATTGCTTGTTGTCATTGCCAACTAAATTGCATTGAGCTGTCACATTAGAGAAGCAACTCGATATGCCAGTCGCTTGCATCTATCTCTCGCTCCCCTCGGCCCCTTTGCTTGCTCTCTTCTTCTTGCCTGCCACTCTATACTCAGCTGAACAGTTTTTATCAATCAACTTTGGAGGTGTTGTTGTCGCCGCTATTGTCGTGGTCGCTCTCCTTCTTATTCTTCGGCGTGTTGTTGTTTTTGCGATTTGTTGTTGCGTGCACTTTAGTTGAAATTGCTGTTGACGTTGACTGTGCAATACATATTTTTATTTTTATTCAATTTCAACGTCACTTGAACGTCGCTAACGACGACGTCGTCGTTGTCGTCGTCCACGCTGTTGTCGATGCCTCTGTCATCATCATTATCATCATCAACATCATCATCATCATCATCGAGAACATCGGTTCGCCTGCTGTCTTCCTGCTGTTGGCTGTGTTTGTTTTTGTTTATTTCAATTATGCAGCGTCTATCGTCTATCGTTTATCGTTTATCGCGCCCAGCCAATTCAATTGGATAAGCCACGCAGCTGTTTAAAGTGCACTTCCTTATGGCCCGCATGCCCCCCGTGCCAACTGGAGTGAGCAACAATTCTCCAATTGGAATTGCAATTGCAATTCGTACAGCCGCTTGAGTGAACGTTTATTTATTTACTTATTTAGTTTGTGCAACTGATGCGTATCTCTGCTGCACTTGCATTTCGCACTCTGCTACTGCTTCGCTTCGCTCTAACGGGAAATCGCACTCGACGGACTGCGCTCAAAGGAAGTGCATTCGAATGGCTGCACATCTGATAAACATGATACCCATAGACAGCTAACAGCTAACAGCTCTGCCTCTGCCCCTGCCTCTGCCTCTGGGCTGTGGGGCTCTGCCCCTACGTCCGATACCGATATCGATATCCATTGCAACCACTCGAGCTTTTCTCTAATTAGCTTTTTGCACTGATTTCGCGTTCTGAAGGTTGCCCTCTCAATGCAAAAACATTCACGATTTGCCATATCCGCTTCGATTGCATTTGTCGCTGGCTAACTTGATGTTGGCAAAATTGACATGCAGATGCAATCAGTTATAAATGCGCATGTTTATTTATAGATATTTGCAAAAATAACTAAATCTGATCTAATATGAACTAGTAAAAAATTATAATAGCATAACAGCTCGATAATTTAACATAAAAATACAAGAAATAAAGGTAAATTAGAATAAAGTTAAAGGTAAAATTAATGTTAGTAGAAATTAATTATATTAATTTATAAACAAATTTCATTTAAAGAAATCAATGATTAAATCATTAAAAAATTTAAGCTTAAGCATCATAGGTCGTTAATGAGAGATGATGTTAAAAGCATGTTATTATTCTCATGTTAATTACATAATAGAATTAAAGATTCAGAGATGATTTGATGATATTTTTACCAATAAATATTAGTATAATAAATATAAATTTAAAATCATACAAAAATATTATGGAAATAATATAATTTTAATAATTATTTGTAATCAATTTTAAAATGAGCCTAATTAAGTTATTGCTGAAATATAAATTTAAATGAATTAATTTATATAAAAGACTTGCCTACAAAAATTGTTTGTTGTTTGTTTGCGTACGGTATAACATCTATCTAATTTTAGCAAGTAGATACAAGGAAGCTTGTCCTGAAATAAAAAACATGTATATAAGACTATCTCTAATGAAAATTAAAAACGAAAGTTACCCTATAGGAGTATCCATATCTACCTGCAGAGGAGTCGCAAATCCACACTTATCCCAAATTTATACCGACTTAATTTAATCTATACCTAATTGAGATTCAAGTTTTAAGTCTGTACTTAAATCTCTTTTTAATGTGGAGCAAAACCTCAAGCCCATTAATATGGAAGTTATTTGAAACCTTTTGCTCGTTGAATCTAAGAGCATTTTTGATATACTTGGATTAGGGGCAGGGGAAACAGAGGTGGGCTCGAGAGGTGGAGGGGTATACGAGTAAAACACGCCCGATTAAGACATTCTGCGGTCATCTTCATGTGAAGAGGCATTTGCTGCCTGCATATAATTACGTTCGTTCGGCATTTCGGGTGGCTCATTCATCACGCAGGCAACCAAAATGTATCTCAAAGATTGTTAGCACTTGGGCCCGACAGGCAGTGTGGACGTGTACGTGGGCGTGGGCGTGGACAAGACAAGAGTTATTTATGTTGTATAGCCAGCTACAACTATTAAAAGTAACTACTTAGCAAACACTGAAGCCGACCAACCGTACCCGTAACCACTGAGCCAACGACCCACCGAACCAACGAACCACCGAGCCAGCGAGCCAACGAGCCAAGGAGCCATCGGGCTGCCCAATCCGAAAGTTTTTTCGGCAAAGTGCCATTTAGTTAAACATTTTGACACATGATAAATGAGTTGTATAAGCCCACAAACCCAGCATTAGGTCAGACATATGTTGAGTCCTAGCTGCCCCCCTCCTGTGCGCCCTCTGTGCGCTTCTGGTCAAAGATCTGCTATTGCTGGCAATTAAAGTGGCATGAAAGACGC